TCCACTTGCAAGGGCACTGATCGTGAATACCACTCACTACGTTTGTTCCATTGTACCCTTGAATAATTTATCTTTAATTTGGCATTGTAACTATTTGCTTAAAAATATTATCATATTTAACTAATCTTTTCGGGTTTATTGTATCGTCGCCACCCAATAAAAGTTGTTTAAATTATCTGTTTAACTTATACTATTTTGTACTTGATAATCAAACTTTGCATCACTAAGTTCTAATTTTTTTTTATTGTTTTCCTATTTTTCACTTTTGAGACAGTGCATCGTTTGTAGTTTTTAAGGTCAATGTTTCCAGTGGACACAGTGCACAAGAAAGACGCCTTTTGAACGTCTTTCGAACGTTTTGAACGTCTTAGGAACATTTAAAAGACGTCTTCTTATGGTCCTCTGCCCACTGGGTTGTGTAACTTCAATTACTAAAACCAGAAGCATTTGATCTACATTTTACACCTAAGGCAGAAAGGTTTTGATCTGCCATTAAAAGAAAGATTTTGATCTTTTGGTGCAACCAGACATTATCTTTTTCCAGATATTTCCAAAGTTCTGGATTTTTCTTTAAGTTTTTATTTTTGAATACATAATTAATAATCTTTTTGAATATTGTAGAAAAAACCTTTTTTTAATTGTTTTATTTTCTCATTCTTTTTAGTTCTTGTTTTTTATTTTTGGACGCCGCTATCAACTTCTATCTCAATTATACTTTTTGAACTAAAACAAATACATTAATTTTAAAATATTTGAAGTATATTAAATGTAAATATTATTTACCACTAAAGGTTTTGTAAACTGATTATTGTAAACGGATTAATAAATAATAACACTTAAGTACTTATAAATAACAAACGCAAACCGCAAGCTTTTTATATAAGAAGCGAACAAGTCTGTCTAACGTGTAATTTATCAATTTAACTTGAAAACAAGCACACAACTAAGCTTGATTCAAGAAGCCAACTTTAACATTGAATACAGCATTTTTTTTTTTTTGTAAATATTTTTTTAATGGATGTTAGTATCCACTTAATTTATCTGTTTTTCACATTTAGTATTGTTGTGGGCTTAATGGCCCTCAAAATGGATGGGCTCCGACGTAATTTAATCTTTAGGACCGTTTTGTTAATTATGAAAATGTTTTAAAAAAATGATTGTAAAATATACTAGATTTTGTATTATTATTATTTATTTATTTATTTGGTGTAATTTATTTCGCCGTTAAAGAATGTTTACATTGTATATACATATATCAAAGTTAATGGCAGGAGCAAGAAGAAGGCACAGTTTGTCTTAACGCCGAGCCCCACATATAAAAAAAAACTCTACATAACCGTAACATACAAATATATATAATACAAATATATAAAATATAGATCAGAATTAAAACAGAAAATAACTGAGAAAATTAAGAAATTCAAAATAGCAAATAATTAAGAATTGTTGAAATGCTAACAACCGCTAAAATATTTAAACATTTTTTTTTTTTTTCATTTCACTATTTCATATATATATATATATATATATATATATATATATATATATATATATATATATATATATATATATATATATATATATATATATATATATATATATACTCATAAAACTGCGGAAAATTTTTCTATTCAACAAATTATTTTACATAACTTAATTTTTACATAGTGTAACCAACATTTTTTAAAATAAATTAAAACTATTTAAATTCTTATGATTAATCTGGTTAAGAGCTTTGAAGCAGTAACTAAATTATTTTTATCTCTCTTTTTTTTTTTTTTATACTTAATTAAAATGTGTTTTCTATAAACGATAGAACTAAATTAAATTAAAGATTAGTTGTGGTTTTTATAAATTCAGCATCGGTGTTTCTGAACTTTTTAAATTTAATATCTAAATTTAAACTTTTATTTTATTTAAAACTTTCGCTTTTAAGAATTCTGAAACTTCTAAACAGTAACATGGCAACAATACTATAGTGTAGTTTTGATATTAGAAATGCTTGTTTTAAATATATATTTATAATCAGTATTTAGGTTTGTTTTAAATATAGTTAAAAAAGTAAACTTCAAAACAATTTTCTTTAAAATAAAAATATAAATTTTAATATTAGACACAAGTCATTAATGAGTTGTTTTTGTGTTGACGTAATTGAGTAAAAGACATTAATAACAAAGTGTAAAGTAATTACCTTGCAAAGTAATAAATAAAATAAAATGTATTATATCTCATTTTTGGTTTCAACATAAAAAATATGTTAAAACTGAAAATAACATGTATGACAGGAATTTTTTTAATTAAGTATTGTTTAAGTGGCATAGGAAACCATTTTTATTTTAAAATTTAATATAGGAAATAGCGCATCTTTATCTCTGGTGTTAAAATAAATTCTAGTTAAAAAACATTAATAAGATATTTAAAGTCGTTATGATATACTTTGTTTCTTATTGTTATTGTAGACGAGTATTGTTTTATTAATATCACGTAGTAGCGGAATTATTTATCAGTTTTTATAGAACAAACGATTCTTTCTACGGTACACCAGTTTTAAGCAGAACAACGCAATAAACATCTTAACTTTAATAAGGATTCTCGTTGCGCTCACTTGTTTTAAAGCGGGATACCGATCACTTTATTATTAGATATCACGATAACCACCTCATGACCAAAGGTTAATTTCAAATACAATCAACCCACACAAAACGATCAGATTAAAGTAGTAAATAATAAAAAGTTAATCCAATTTTTTTCTGATTATATGAAAGAAAGGCATTTGAATGGCTAAATGGTTAAATTGATTAAATGGCCGATTTTTTATTGTTTATTTTTTACAAAATATATGTTTTTTTGTTCTTTAATACTAATAAATGTTATTTAAAACTCAGGCACAACAAAAACTGAAAATTGAAATCTATAAATTAAAAAATTAAAAAATTATTTACTAATATAATTATTTATTTTATTATTTATTTTTATATAAGTATTTACTACTATAATTACTATTAATTAGAAAATTAAAAAACAAAAAATCGAAAAATGAAAAAAAAAAAAAATGTTTTCATCACTACAACACCATCACAACACTTTTATAACACTATTACAACGCCATTATAACACCATCCAACTACCATTATAACACCATTAAAACACCATATAACATCATTATAACACTTCAAAGTTAATTGTTTTATACTATTTAAATCAATAAAAAAAATCAATGTTGGCAAATAAAACTATTAAACAATGAATGCTAGAAACCAAAAATATGTCTCTAAAAATTGCACAAGTTATGATGGATAAAATTTTTATTCTAAAAAGTAATTTTTGTCTTTTATATATTATACTTCTTCTCATTATGCCAAACAGAATTTTTCAAAAATTGTTTGCTACACATTAGTGTATGGGCTCTACACAAGTATGCGGAACTTATATACATGAGTGAGCAACTGTTTACACAAGTTTGTGCCCTTCTACACACGAGTGTGCAACTCTCTACGAAGTGCTAACTTTTGATTATCATTGTTACTAGAAATTTGGAGAATTTTTTCCCTAGATTTGCCCGATAACCTATGTTTTTAGAAAATGTAAAACTTTTTTTTACTTTATTTTTTTTTTTTTTTTTTACTTTGCTGTTTATCGAAATAAAGACAGTTCTTTAACGCTTTTACAACTCACTGACTAACAATTTAAAATAATTATCATAATTAGCATTATTATCAAAATATTAATTATGGATCGTTTCAAAGGTTTTTAAGAAAGTCTTCCCTCTTTGGCGTTTGGACCAATCTGTCAAGCAACTTTATGCTATCTTTTTAACGTTTTATTAAATATTATTACATATATATGTATATATATATATATACATATATATGTAGTAATATTTATATATGTATATATAAAACTTTTTAAAATGAGAAAAACACGAAGTTGTCTAATGTATCATGTATAAGCTCTACCTAGGCATTTATACATTGTATCTAGCTTATACGAAAACTTCCCACCTGAAAAGCAATATCATTAAGACAACTTAATCCTCTAACAGAAAAGTTGTGTTAGTTATCATAACTAACGCAGACAGACTGGACTGAAAACATTTGATTGATCTCCTAACTGTCCAAAAAGTTTTTTAAGTTTCAGTTTTTGGTTACTACATTTTTAGTTTATTTTGAATTATAATACTTGTAAGTGTTTTTATACGTGGATTTAAAATCACAAATATTTATACAGAATTTGCTGATTTGTAATCCATTTCAATTTTAGGTGTAAATTTTAAAGTATCAGCTGGATCGTACTTATTGATGGGAAACTTTTAAATCTATAAATAGTTTTCTATACAGTAATATCTTGTTTAAGTTGTTAGATTAATAGATTTAAATAAAAAGCTGATGTTTTTCTGCAATAGTCATTTTTTAATGACTCAATAAAATATTTTAGTTTTTCTATGGCGTCATTTTTACGGACAGTATGGCACGGAAATTGTTGCATTAAGTCACGTAAGCTATAAAGCAATCAACAGAAAGTTAAAAATAGAAATAATTAGTTTGTGGTTATTATTTTAGTAATTCTAAACAAACAGCGAATTAAAGTAGACCGCGCACAACAATCAAAAATAAACTAAAACAAATAAAGCTTTAAAACATTGTTATTATTACTAATACTGCTCTTTATTTTTGTGTGAGACCTTTTTTAAAAAATTTTTGACATATTAAGTGACACGTTTTATACTTAAATTCAGAAGTCATAAATTCTTTTTAGAAGTTTTGTGTTAACATAATATTCGGAATTTCTCAAAAATAAATCAGTGTTTAAAAAAAAAACATTTTTTTCATTTTTTTTTTAAACTTCATCGCAACACGTTGTATATTTTAACGGATTTTTTGAATTGATTTTTTTTTTTTAGTTTTTTGATAATGATTTTTATACGAAGCCTTGGGAAAATGTTTTTAGTGGATTTCCCTTCTCGTAAACGCACATTAAAATGCAAATTTTCATATTTTTCATACGAACTTACAAAATCTTAATTAAAAATAAATTGATATCATGTTCTGAAAAACTATCGTAATCCAATGATCTATTTTTTCAGCTTACCACTCTTTACACGAGGCGTGTTGTCTCAAATTATGTTGTATAAATATCAAAATTATATCCAGAGTTTACTTGTAGCTGTTCTAAGTTGTTGATACAAATTATTGGAAAAAACCTAAACATTATTAGAAGTAAAATAAACAATTATTTATTTTTATACATTATTAATAGATTCGGATATTTTTAGTATAAAGAAAGTCAGTCACTCCCATGTAAAACACAGAAACCGAAAATAGACCAACAAAAAGCCGGAATTGCATGAACTTGTTATTTATTTATGTTAACATGTTAGTTAGCAATAATGCATTCCGTATTCCAAATTTACCTTCAAGAAATTTTCGGTTTTTTAAACAATTATAACAAAATCACAATATACATTAGAATTCCTTTTACTTGAACAAAGCTTTATATTGAAATAAAACATCTTCAACAAGTATAGTGTAAACGATTCTCGATTAGTATCTTTTGAACATTCATTATTATTTTAAACAATGTGGATTAATTCTATTTTTAGAAACAACGGCTATAAACGAAGCTCGACTCATTAAATAATCATTATCCGCTAAACCGTTAGTATTTGCGCACCATTACAATTATGAAGTCTTCTTCGTCTAACGTTTGCGCTAGTATTACTACTGAAGATTACAAATCTTCTTTCATGAATGGATTTGATATTAAGACGACAAAGCGGTATACCAAAAATACGGCAGAAGAATTGGTTGATCATTATGTCAACATGATGCTAATAGACTTTAGACTATCAGATGAACAAAGTCTATATCTTTCACCTTATGGATGCGACGTTTTGAAAAAGTTCGAATGAACGGAATACAAAATGTTTAAAGACGTTTGACGATAGGAGGATGTGTTTCAAATTATTTATTAAAATAATATATTTATTTGTATTTGTATATAAACTTGCAGTGTTTGTAAAATAATTTATTAAATATTAAATAAAAATGTTTTGTGAATATTTTAGTCACGCTCTATTAATGCATTTTGGCAACAACTTGGTTTGAAAACATAATAAGATAATGACGTCACTAAGAAAATGACACGTTTTTAAACAAAATATTTGTTAATTAAAAGCTACTACTTTGCAATATCGAAAGTTTGTTGCGATTCGAAATCAAATTCATATTTTAATGTTCCTGAGAAAATAAATTCTGTTTTAAAAACATTCGGAGAGTACTCTAATTGTATTTTATACAAATATGAAATACAATGAGAGTATACTAAAAATGGTTGTAACAGAAAAGACAAAGGCTGGTAAATTCATAAAGCAAACCGCCGACTACCAACTTGCACTATACCGATTTGTAACAATTTGTAATTGGCATTCTCTGTTTTAAACTTATTTTTTCTGTTTATAAATTATTTCTTTGTATTATTCTTATCTTTGTATTATAAATTGTATAATTGTAAAAATAATTAATTCGAATAATTTATCGTAGATATTTTACATGAACACAAGTTACAAAACGCACGCTTATAATATTAATATCCTATAATAATATTATATTGTTACAACAATATTATAATATGTAACTATGGTTATATTAGAATGTTTATTAGCCAATCCCATAATTTTTTTTCGACAACCAGTTTTCATGCGGAGTGGCTAATGAGTGGCGTAGAGGTCATATTTATATGAAAAAAAAAATTATTTTTAATTTTTTCTTGATAAAAGTATTCGCGCCATTTGTTCAAAGTTATGCTTTTTATGATTTTTGACTAAATTTAGATCAATTTTAAAGCATTGGCACGCATAGATTCTGATATCAAATCCATTTGATTTATTTAACGGTATTTTCTTAATGTGTTCCTGCACTAAAAAAACACTGTGCTTAATAATTTAAGAATAATGGTGTACCTATCTTTCACTGATTACGATAGATAAATTAACACTTTGTCTATTGTAAAATGTTTTTTTGTCGATCTTTGAGCTTTTTCTCAGTCATACAACAAACTTTATGGTTTTAACCTCATTTCGGTATCAAATGATGTTTTTTTTTTTAAAAAAAATACTGGAGCCTTGGATCAACAAAAATCCAAGTCCAAAATTGTTTCCTTAAAAGATTGGGTAAAGGACTTTCGATTTTTTGTGTAAACAAAACTAGATCAAAATATATCAAAGTGATTCAAAAATATATATACACAATTTTTCTGTGGTTATTTTAGGTGCTCCAAGAATACCTAATCACACAGTCGCATCACACAGCACCGCAGAAAAGCATTAAACTTGGAAGTTTACGCTTGCTTCATGTTAAAAAAGTCTAGAGTAGGCATTGAGCCAAAGACCTGTATTTCATCCCCTGCCCAAATGTGAGAGCGATAAGTTGGTAAAATATTTTTTTTGCTATTCTTAACTAAGTTTATATTCATCGCTAAATTTTAAGTTTCATAGTAAATCTCTCAGCGTTTATAAATTATGATCATAAAGAGTTTACACCATCCTCAAATTTTTATTTTTATTCTTTTGTTTTTTGTTTAATTTTACAACTTTGTGATTTAATAAATATTTGTTAACAATGTTTGTGTTTATATATGATTTTTAATAAGAAATGAAAGAATGCAGAAACTCGTAGAAGACCGTAAGGTCTTGTCGTCGAGAACCGCTAAAAAGTTTATGTGATATTTGAGGGGGTAACAAATTTTATATGGTTCATAATTTTTGAACGCTTTTATCGATGTATATAAATTTAGTTCAGAATAGCAAAAAAATTATTTCATCAACTTGCTGCTCTCGCGTTTTTGGCAAGGGGAATTAAATTTTAGAGCTTTTTTGTTCCCAGCCTCCAATCGTTGCAACTTTTTAAAACGCATATTTATCTGACATAAGTACAAGCATACAAATGTTTGGATTTTGCTTCATGTTAGCTCAAACACAAAAAAATGCTAGATCCGTTACTGCCACAAATCTCTTGTTTATTAAGCAAATTTGATTCAGAACTCAGTGTGTAAACGCTGCAAATGTACAATAAATATTTATATAAATAAATTTTCAGCTTAAGACAAATATCTCAAGAAAATATGTAAAAAAAATTTCTTTTAAATTTACTTTTAAGGTTCAGAGTTTGCTATCGGATCAAAATTCAAATTATTAGAACCATTCAATAATGAGAAAGGGAGAAAGTAGTCGCCGTGGCTCATTAAACCCACTCTTCTTCTTTTTTAATAATTTTTTACAAGAACTCTTTATTTAAAATAGCTTCTGAAGCTTCTCCAAGCTCACCACGTGCTCTACAATATCTAGAAAAAATTTCACTGTAAACACTGCAAAATAAATTTTTTAATACAAAATATTTTTCTTAAAACAAGAAATATGTTTCTTGTTTTAATAAATAAATATCTTACTCTGCATTTTATTTTTAAAAAATAGAAATATATTTCTTGCTTTGAGAAATAAATTTCTTAAACTATGATCAATAGATTTACGATTTTGCTGTGAGTTCTGATGAATTGTTAGCAACTTTGAAAGATTTTAAAAGTTTTGGAATTCGTTGTATCCAAAAAGTCTGAGGGAGTCTTATCCGTAGGCATTTTTGCAAACTATGACTTAGAATATAAAAAATTAACCAGTAGTCTGGTGAAATATTCAACTCAAGACCTAGTGGCTGGTCTTTATCAATAAAAATCGCTTTTAGAAGAATTTCAGCTTAGATTCTACCCGTTTTTACATCTTTTTGAACCTCCGTTTGTTTTTGAATACAGAGTTTTTTACCATTTTTGTATTATGATCTTGGTCAAAAGATGCTAACGCCAGCACCAAACACCTTTATGGTTTTACCATTATTTGAATTTCATCACTGCAGCATACAAATTTTGCATTAGCCGATAGTCTTGTTGATCTTAAAGGTTTAAATTAAAAATAATGCAATGTAGATAAAATTAGGTTTAAAATGACACAGATAAATACGTATTACATTTAATTTTGACAAAATAAAATCTATTTTTTTTCAACAAGACCTTACGGTCTTCTAAAATAATATTTTGTGTATAATACTTTGTGTTTTGAAATGTTTTGAAAATAAAAGACAAGCTTGGAGAAAATAATGAAAATTAAACGAAAAAAGATTATTATGTTTTTTTTAATATTAGAAGGGTTTCTTACTAAGACTCAGCACACTTATAATAAGGATTGAGCGGGGTATATAGGATTGAGCGAGGTATATAGGATTGAGCAGGGTATATAGTATTGAGCAGGGTATATAGGATTGAGCGGGGTATATAGAATTGAGCGGAGTATATAGGATTGAGTGGGGTATATATGATTGAGCGGTGTTTATAGGATTGAGCGGGGTACATAGGATTGAGCGGGGTATATAGAGTTGAGCGGGGTATAAAGGATTGAGCGGGTATATAGAATTAAGCCAGGTATATATGATTGAGCGGGGTATATAGGATTTAGCGGGGTATATAGGATTGAGCAAAGTATATAGGATTGAGCGGGGTATATAGGATTGAGCGAGGTATATAGAATTGAGCGAGGTATATAGGATTGAGCGGGGTATATAGGATTGAGCAGAGTATATAGGATTGAGCGGGGTATATAGGATTGAGCGGAGTATATAGGATTGAGGGGGTATATAGGATTGAGCGGGGTATATAGAATTGAGCAAAGTATATAGGATTGAGCTGTGTTTATAGGATTGAGCGGGGTATATAGGTTTGAGCGGGGTATATAAGGTTGAGCGAGGTATATAGGATTGAGGGGGGTATATAGGGTTGAGCGGGGTATATAGGATTGAGCGAGGTATATAGGGTATATAGGATTGAGCGGGGTATATAGGATTGAGCGGGGTATATAGGATTGAGCGGGGTATATAGGATTGAGCGGGGTATATAGGGACACTTAAGAAACAAAAAAATAAACTGATCATAGTAAAAACTGTTTTTAATAAATTTTCTAAAATTTGTTGATATTAGAAAACGAAATAAATAAAAACAAGAAGCTACGACACCCAAAGTAACGAAACTCTAGACTAGAAAAATTTTTAAATTTTGCAGCAGTTATTTATTAATTGTAAAGCTTTAGAATTGATAAAAAATGAGGGCATTTTATCATTAAAATATAAAATTTCAGATAATAAACTCTCAACACAACTAACACACCCATATATATATATATTATACACCTATACACCACAAAAAAAAAAAAAAAAATACTCTTAAACATACATATTAAGAAATTGAAGAAAAAATAAGTAGGGCAAAACTATATATGATTAAATTGTATAATTAAAGTATATATCATTATATTGATAACTGCTATTAAATTTAAAATTAAACAAAAAAATATTATAGATTACATAAATTACACTAAAAATATCCTAAAACTACTTGGCAAAATTTTTGATAAGCTGCCTTAGCTCAGCTTAGCTTTTGATAAGCTGGCTTAGCTAAGCTTAGCTTTTGAAAAGCTGGCTTAGCTCCATAAATTACGCAATGCTAAATTTTTTTTATTGCACTTAATTAGCTGTTTTGATTTTTTATTTTACTTAAGGCTCTGCGAGCAAAAAATTTTGATCTTTTTTTGTTTTGTTTATTAGTGAAATTTAGCGTTGTGTACTTTATGGACGTTCCCTTATTTGCAATAGGCCAATGTACAGCAAATTTAAATATGCCATATGTATCAGCAACTTTTCTTGTTGTAAGTTCCTTTTTGCTCACAGCTAAAACTGTATTTCATTCCATTTTTGATGACTGAGCTTACTTATATTTACATTAAATGCTATAAATTATAGACCTCGTCTCAGTTCTGATAATTTGTCATTGTTCCTTGTGCGCAGAATCGCATGAAAGAAAGTAAATACACAAATATATTATGAAAGCATTTTTGAAAGAAACAGTTGTTTACATAAGATTTATTTACTTTTATTCATAATAAAAGTGTCGATTTTGACTATTTAACTTTATTTTAACTATTTTAAGGCTAAATTTATATTATTTATGATAGTTGTGTTTGTGCGTTTTTGTGTGTATATATATAATATATAATATATATATATATATATATATATATATATATATATATATATATATATATATATATATATATATATATATATATATATATATATATATATATATATATATATATATATATATATATATATATATATATATAGGGTAAAGTAGGGTAATTTCGGCGTATTAAGCTATTTTGCTATTTATAGACAACGGTTGCTTTAATAATGTTAAAAAATCATTCATATCGATGCACTGCAGATATATCTATTAAATAATAGTTAAAAAAATGTTTCCAACTTACAAAGTTTTACGTAAAACCTGTTTTACAAAATACTCAAAAATGACGAAATTAGCGACCTAGTATGGTATTTTCGGCACTATGGTACGGTAAATTCGGCATAGTTATGAAAATTAAGAAGTTTGTTGAAAACGCATTAATATATTCAAAATATTATAAACAGCTATAAATCT